GTAGTAGAGTGTGTGTGTTGTGAGAGAGAGAGTGTGTGTGTGTGTCGCGTGCATGAATATTTTTCTTACATGCATTTATGTAAAGCGCCTAGAGCTGTGTTTACACGGGAGTGGGCGCTATAGAAATGATCTTCATTATTATTATTATTATTATCATTATAATCGTGACAAGGTTCCACCTGTTACCGGGCGTTATCAACCCACAATTACAATGGGACTGATCAATTCAATAGAGTTTTTGAAGTTTTAGTAAAAGTTTTACGGCACTGGCAACACAATAAGGTCATACAAGTGCCTAAAAATAGATGTGTTACAAGAGAGTAACATACACAAAAAAGAAGGAGGGGAGATAGAGCCGATAGACGTTCGGTAGGAAAGAAGAAGCAAACCACAGCAGAGCACCCGCCAACCACTCGCAGTGTCGATGATTGATGTGCTACAGAATGGTAAGAAACACATTCAAGAAGGAGGGGAGATACTGGTTTGTTTGTTTGTTTGTTTGTTTGTTTGAGGAAAGAGAAGCACGTCCACACACCAATGGTCATTTAGTGCTGGGGAAAATGAGACACAGACAGAAACAACAGAGGGGAAAGTAAAGAAGTAGGACCTACCAGTGACACCCTCCAACCACCCACACAGACAGAATCAACTGAGGGGAAAGTAAAGAAGTAGGACCTACCAGTGACACCCTCAAACCACCCACACAGACAGAAACAACAGAGGGGAAAGTAAAAAAGTAGGACCTACCAGTGACACCCTCCAACCACCCACACAGACAGAAACAACAGAGGGGAAAGTAAACAAATAGGACCTACCAGTGACACCCTCCAACCACCCACACAGACAGAAACAACTGAGGGGAAAGTAAAGAAGTAGGACCTACCAGTGACACCCTCCAACCACCCACACAGAAGAAAATACGATGATTCGACAGCGCTGAGAAAAGCTAGCGAATGTAAAATAGAGGAACTTAGGTCTGGTTTAAGCTTATCAAAAATATGTCAGAAAAAATAATTGGACGGAGGTATTCGAATGTCATGAATAGTGGGCTCACGCTTCGAAACTTCAATGATTTTTGTGTTTCCTCAAACTCCCACAGCACTATCACGGCACCCCGGAAATGGCGGCTCACAAGAGAGTGACAAACACACCACAGAAGTACCCGGTAGAGAAAACTAACGATACTAAGGACGTGGAAAGAAAAAGCGGCAGTTCCCAGTTGCAGTTCAGGCACAGTATGACACCGATGAATCAGCCCATTTACAATTCTATTGTGCGTAAGAACATGTTAATGTTCCCCCTTTGGGAATGGCCTAAAGACACTTCAGTCAGTGGCAGCGCCCCGGGAGGGGGGGGTAGACCCAGTCTGGGATTTGAACCAGGGCCATCTGCTCAGTAGTCCAGCATGGTGCTGACAGGGCTAATGGAGCACCTAGGAGGAAGAGGAGGAGGAAGAGGAGGAGGTAGAGGAGGAGGAAGAGGAGGAGGAAGAGCAAAACAACAACAACAGTGGAACCAACAAAAACAGCAACAACAACAACAACAACAACAACAACAACAACAACAACAGCAACAACAACAACAACAACAACAACAGCAGCAGGAAAAACAACAACAACAACAACAACAACAACAGCAGCAGGAGAAACAACAACAACAACAACAGCAGCAGGAGAAACAACAACAACAACAACAACAACAACAACAACAACAACAACAACAACAGCAGCAGCAGCAGCAGCAGGAGAAACA